CACTGGACTCTCACATGGCCAAATGTGGTTTGAATCCTGGACCTGGAGGCTTGAAACTCACATCAGATGCATGGGTGTGCATGCCCAAAATACTGAGAGAAGAATGAAGGAGAAGGGACTGTGGCATGGCTATCATCTCTGGGAGTGGGGGTGTGATTTCGCTTTCTGTCACTTTTTCTCTCTCAAGCAAGCACATGTGCCCTATAGCAAAAATCTTTCTCTGGAAAAAAAAAAATAGACATTGGCACCAGTAGGTGGTGTGGTGGTTAAGGTGCTGGACTACCACATGACTGACTATGGTTCAAGCCTCAGACCCAGCAGCTTGAAAATCACACTGGGTGTGTGTGCTTGCATGCCCAAAATTCTGAGAAGAGAATGGAGAAAATATCGTGATATGGTCATCTCCCTTGAGGCTGATTTCTCTTTCTCTCTCTCTCTCTCCAGTAAGTGCATTTGCCCTATGGCAAAAACCTGGAAAAAATGATAGATATTAACAGCATAGTATAGGTAGTACAGGTAGTTGGAAGATAATTATTGTTTGTTTGATGTTATAGTAGATAATAGATCTCTGTTAGGCCTAGTATGGAATGTATTAATAAAGAAGCATATGCATTGCAATATAACAATTAAAATTTTTTTTTCTTTTTTTTTTTTGGAGAGGTTTTTGCCATTAAATAGATTTAAAATTTAAAAAAATATAGACATGGGACCAACAGATAGTGTAATGGTTACATCACTGGACTCTCACATGGCCAAATGTGGTTTGAATCCTGGACCTGGAGGCTTGAAACTCACATCAGATGCATGGGTGTGCATGCCCAAAATACTGAGAGAAGAATGAAGGAGAAGGGACTGTGGCATGGCTATCATCTCTGGGAGTGGGGGTGTGATTTCGCTTTCTGTCACTTTTTCTCTCTCAAGCAAGCACATGTGCCCTATAGCAAAAATCTTTCTCTGGAAAAAAAAAAATAGACATTGGCACCAGTAGGTGGTGTGGTGGTTAAGGTGCTGGACTACCACATGACTGACTATGGTTCAAGCCTCAGACCCAGCAGCTTGAAAATCACACTGGGTGTGTGTGCTTGCATGCCCAAAATTCTGAGAAGAGAATGGAGAAAATATCGTGATATGGTCATCTCCCTTGAGGCTGATTTCTCTTTCTCTCTCTCTCTCTCCAGTAAGTGCATTTGCCCTATGGCAAAAACCTGGAAAAAATGATAGATATTAACAGCATAGTATAGGTAGTACAGGTAGTTGGAAGATAATTATTGTTTGTTTGATGTTATAGTAGATAATAGATCTCTGTTAGGCCTAGTATGGAATGTATTAATAAAGAAGCATATGCATTGCAATATAACAATTAAAATTTTTTTTTCTTTTTTTTTTTTGGAGAGGTTTTTGCCATAGGGTGCGTGCACTCACCAGACAGAGAGAGAGAGACAGAGAGACAGAAAGCGAGAAATCATCCCCTAGGGGGGATGGCCACGCCGCAATCCCTTCTCTTCCATTCTCCTCTCGGGATCTTGGGCACGCATGCACTCGTGCCCGGTGTGAGTTTTAAGCCACCGGGTCCAGGACTTGAACCGTGGTCGACTACGTGGGAGTCCAGCGACATAGCCATTATGCTAACTACTGGTCCCTAAAAATATATTTTTAATGTGTCCAAATTTCTTTATTCTTTGCAGCTAAAGGTTAGAGACATGGATTAATTACACTCTCTTGCATAGTATCTCTCATAGGAATTACAATGAGAATAGCATCCTTTAACTGTTGTTTTACTCAGAACACTCTAGTTTGCTATTTCCACTCTGGATTTTCCTTTTATTTTGTTTTTGATTGACAAATAGTAATTGTATATATTTAAGTAGTCCTTTGTAATGATTTGGTAAATGTATACTATGGGTACTGATCAAATTAGAATAATTAAAATATCCATCGTCTTAGATATTTATTATTTCTTTGTGGTGAGATCATTCTAAATCTCTCTTCTAGTTATTTTGAGATATAGCTTACTGTTAACTATAATCACCCTACTATATAATAGAACACTAGAATTTATTCCTCTTATCTGACTGTAACTTTGTACCAGTTAATCAACCTCTTTTTATCTCCCCTGCCTTCTCCCTTTTCTAGTCTCTGGTGGCCACTATTTTTCTGTAAGATCAACTTCTTAAAATTTCACATATCAGTGATATCATATAACATTTATCTTGCTGTTCCTAACTTATTTCACTTAAAATAATATCCTCCATGCTCATCTTGCCATAAATTACAAGAATTTATTCTTTTTAATGGCTGAATAATATTCTGTGGTGTATTGTGACTACTGCTGCAATAAAAAGGGGTATACAGATAATCTCTTCAATATATTGATTTTGTTTCCTTTAGATTAATATCCAGTAGTGAAATTGTTGGATCATGTGGTGGTTCTATTTTTAATGTTTAAGGAACCTACATAATGTTTTCTGTAATGGCTCTATTAATTTACATTCCCATCCACAGTGTATGTTGCCATGTCTTTGCCAGTGATTGTTATTTTGGATAATTGCCATTCTAACTGGAGTGAAATGCTACCTCGTTGTTGTTTTGATTTCCATTTTCCTAATGATTAATGATGTTGAGCATTTTTTCATTTACTCATTGACCATTTGTATGTCTTCTTTTGAAATTAATTGTCCATTTTAAATTAGATAATTTGTTTTTGCTGCAGAGTTCTTTGAGTTCCTTGTATACTCTGAATATTAATCCCTTGCCAGATGAATAGTTTTCAATTATTTTCTCCCATTCTATAGGTTGTATCTTCACTTTCTTGGTTGTTCCCTTTGTTTGGTGATTGTTTGGTTGATTGTTCCCTTTTAGTTGGTGAAATACCACTTATGTATTTTTACTTCTATTGCCTGTGTTTTTTTGAGATCTTATCTGCCTCTCTGCCTCCCCGCTAAAAAAAAATCCTTGCCCACAATGCTTCAGTGTCTTGAAGCAATGTCTCTTTGTTTTCTCCTATAAGTTTTATAGCTTCTGGTCTTACATTTATGACTTTAGTCCATTTTGAGTGGATTTTGTAAGTGGTGAGGAATAGAGATCTAGTTCCATTCTTCTACATATAATACCCAGTTTTCCAGAGTCTTTAATTGAAGAAATTATCTTATCCCTGTGTATGTTCTTGACACCTTTGTAAAAAATCAGCTGGCTAGAAATGCATGGACTCATTTCTGGATGTTGTATTCTGTTCCATTGATCTCTGTGTCTGTTTTTATGCTAGTACTATGTTGTTTTGGTTACTATTGCTTTGTGGTATACTTTGAAGTCACTTAATGTGATGCCAAATTGCTTTGTTCTTTTTGACCAGTATTGTTTTGGCTATTCTGGGTCTTTTTAGATTCATAGGAATTTCAGAATTGTTTTTTGTTTTTCTGTGAAGATTGTTGCTGGTATTTTGATAAGAATCTAAATATTTTAATAATTGTATTTCAATATTATTGGTTTTCTTTATAATAATATATATTTAAATTGTGGATTTTTAAATTCTTTTTTTTCCTGACCAGGAGATCCCTTAGCTTAACCAGACTGACAAAGAGGAGGGTCATGATGAAAAAATGGCAAAAGCTTCTACTCCAAATTCTAGGCTACTCTAAGTTACTTTCCTAAAGAAGTCAGTTTCTTAGGGGAAAAGTCTCTAAGGATTACATTTCCCCATAAAACATATCATTATTGTAAAACATATGGAATAGCTGCAATCTTTTTGAAAGAACATGAGATTTTTTTCTTTTTCTTTTGACATGTAGAAATATATAACAATGTTAAAAACTTTATTAAAAACTTAGAAAATATTCTCACAGGTTAATCTCTTTTAAGCAAAGAGAGCAAGTGCCAATTAGAGAATGAGCTCAGAAATCATAGAGCTATGCTCAAATTGGACCTTCACCTGTCTAACTAGCTTGCCCAAAACATTACCACTGTTGGAAATCAACCCCTTCATCACTTGCATTTTTTAATAAAAATTCACTCTGAAAATTGATTCCTATTTAAATTTAGCTTTACATTATGCTCATGTTATCATTTTAGGCTGTAGTGTCCTCTTTTAAGAAGTAAATTTTTTAATTTCAAGAAAAGCAGTTTTTGCTTGAAGAGATCAAAATTTAAAAATGTTAAGAGAAATTTGCTTAAGAATTAAAGCCAGGAGAAAGGTTAGCATTCTGTTCCAACAGTAGGTAAGAAGTAAATTTGAATGAAGACTAATATACATTCAGAAAAGTGCATACTGCATAAGCGTGTATCTCAAGTAATTTTCACACTAAACATACAAATTTAACCAGAACCCAGATCAAGAACTTACTGTCTTTTTTAATCTGTTGTTTATAAAAATTCTATATATAGGATCTGATTTGTCTCTTTGATGAAACAGAGGTCGTGCCTGTATAGCTATACTGCCCTTGCACCTTGCTGAGCATTGGTGGAGTCCATATAAGAAAACCAGGGACTAGTGGGAGGAACACAAGCTTTGTCCTGGCTTTGATCCTGTTGTGACTGCTTATGGGCTGTGCAAATTCTGACAAATTATTTCATCTCTTTGAACATCAATGCACTCATTGATGTAAATGAGAATAAAATTTAAAATGAGGATATGAGGATCATACTTTTATTTTATGAAGGTTGAAAATTAGAGAAAATAAAATCAGAATGTCTATTATATACAAGAGATGAATGAATGACAGATGCCACTATCAGTAGCTATGAATATATCACTAAAACATTCATTTGTGGCTGAGAAATTTATTGAAAGTTTATTATAATAGAGAGAGATATGGGGCCCAGTGCATTAACTAAAATTTTGAAACACTCCTGGACAATTTTTATAGTATATTTAATTTGCATGATGTTTAATTTACTGTAGATTAAATGTAATTTTTTAAAAAAAGAATTAAAATTTGATTGTTTTCTTGAATTTCTAAGAAAATGAAACCCCCATTTGCTAAGTGAATTTTGTTTCTTCTTTTGAGGTGTTGGAGAAAATTTGACAGATCCATCTGTTATAAAACCTGAAGACAAACAGTAAGTTGATTTATGTGTCATCATTTAGAAAATTGCATTTAACATATTGTGCATGTTTTTCTTTTAAATTACAAACATTTTAAACTTTATGATAGAGAGTGCATGCATGTACAAGCATATGAGAAACAGAGAGCAAGAGAGAGGGAGAAACACCCCTAAAGAGTCGGGTCACATCAAGATCCCCTTAGCGCAACCCTCCAGCTCATTAGGATCTTGGGCATGGACATATACACTAAGGTGTTTTGGCTCAAAAGGATTGAGGATCTGAACCCAAGTTTGGCCATATGGCTTCTAGGACTGATGTTAAAGATGCTGCTGACTGGGACCAGCAGTTAGTGTAATGGCTATGCCGCTGAACTTCCATGTAGTCGACCGTGGTTCAAGTCCTGGACCCGGTGGCTTAAACTCACGCCGGGCATGTGTACGTGCATGCCCAAGATCCCGAGAGGAGAATGGAGGAGA